AATGCAAACCACCTCTCTTTAAATATAATGTAGTATGTACTCTTACTTAAACTAGGTTTTTTCCATGAAAGACATTAAATACAGCAATACTGTACTATACAGTTTGTGTTTGTAGATGGAGCCATTCAAATGCTAAAGAAAAAACCGGCTGAATTAAACAATATTAGCATGTTTTATAGTGCTTAATGCTGTAAGTATATTTAGAATTCTTCAAAGCAGTCATAAAATTTACTCTGAAAAGTTGAGACCATTAACATTATGGAGAAAATGAGTCACCTCTCCTGAGTTGGTGCATAAAATACACGTAACAAAAGAAGAAGAACGATTTTTTTATTATAGTTGAATTAGTATTGTCTACGCCTAAACTATTTTTACAGAAGAAAACCATTGAGGGTTTTGCTGCGAGGTTCACTGACAAGGGCAAACTGTATAGTTATATATATATAAGTAGCTCACACAAGACCACAGCTTCAACCATTACAATGTTTGTGTGCTGTCAATCTTTCCTCGTTACAGTATCTCTGTATGCTCACTTTCCTCGTTACAGTGTGTGTATGGTCACTTTCCTTGTTACAGTATCTCTGTATGCTCACTTTCCTCATTACAGTGTGTGTATGGTCACTTTCCTTGTTACAGTATCTGTGTACACTCACTTTCTTCATTACAGTGATATGAATATGGTGAATCTTTTCTCATATATGTACAGTACACGGTGAATATTTCCTCTTCCTCTTCAAAATGTGTATACAGTGACTCTCTCATCATTTGAATGTACAGTATATGTATACAGTGAATATTTCTTCTTCAGAATATGTATACAGTGAATCTTTCCTCATTTGAATGTTTATGTATGCAGCGAACAATGCGCTTACTTAAATTTTTGGTCACGGTATACTGATGCTCTTTAACATGCTACCACATAAAGCAGGGATTGCAGATCCTTAAATGGTTATAAATACATGTATTATGTCATTTTGATAAATAATTTAAATCAGTTCTTGTTAAATGACACCCACTTGAATTAATGTGGCATAAAAAAAATTTCATTATTGTAAATTTCTAAATATATATATACAGTATGTGTACAGTATATATATTTATATATGTGTGAACTCCTCCTTCAATATATATTTTTTTATCATTTCCTGTGCAGACAAAGTCCCAGTCTTTTTTGAAGGTAAATGGTTAATTATATATTAGCGTTTCCAGGTAAAAACTGTAATATGCATGTTTAAACTTAATATTAACCATGGGGCATAGGGTGTCATAAGTAATGAAATGCATGTCTGAGCTGACAGAAAAAACAATATATTTTTTAAATTGCAATGTTCTAATGTGATATGATGTGAAATGTGCAATTTAGTTAAGGTATTACAGTATGGTAATTGGAATCAATTTGTTTAGTATAGTCTACTGTAGCTTATTAACGATGAGTTAAGAGTTTTACAGTCGAGGCCTTAACACACATCAAAAGTTATGATTGCATTTTGTCATTGGTTGAAATTTAGTTTGTATTTAAACATGACCTATATACAGTAAAATTTTAATAGAAACCTCATAATTAATGTTTGAATGTTGTAGCTGTGCAATAATTTACTGGTGACACTGTAAATACATTTTGCCAGGTGTATGTAGGCAAGTATGGAAAAGTGTACAGGTTTGACGGATGGTGAGGGGAAGGTACTAAGTCTTTTGCTACATATTGTCTGAAGTGGTAAAATTCTAACATTTGTCTGGTTAGCATGGGCTTGTTTGGTGTCCAATTGTCAGGGACGCTTAGCTTTTTAGCTTTTTTTAGGTTCTAGACCCAGCCACTGTGACTGTTCATCAGACTGTGACCCACAACAGTTGACTAACTCCTGGGTGCCTTTTTACTGGTAGGTGAACACCAGAGGCATTTGAGTGTAAGACATGTGCCCAGACGTCTTGCCCTGGCTGGGAAGTGACCCAAGGACCAATCGCTTTCTAATAAATACCAATGTACTGGATGGAGTCAGTTGACTTAGCTATGCAAACTCCAAGTGTTGTCATAGGAGTTTCTTTGCTTAGCTTAGTTCTTTGCCTTAGGTTTTCTCTTTTTCTTTTTACTGTTTTATCTGTTCTTGACTATGTATATTCTTCAATGGAATATACAGTGCATGGGTTTTAATGCCAATTTCCTTGAACTTCAATTTCAGATCTCGCAGTTTTTACAGCTTTGTAAATGTCTCCAGGAGCCGATGCTTGGTGCTCTTCCTGGTCACACCGGCGGTTATTCCTGTCTCTTTCCCTCCAGCTTTTGTTGGGACCCTTAACTCTTCTGCTTTCTTGTTTTTTAACTTATATTTCATTTGTTCCTCTTTCTTTTTAAATTGAACATCCATTCCTCTGTCACCTCTATCTTTGTGAGTAATTGGTACAGTCTGTTTCATTTATTTTCCCCAAATATTCATCTTTTTCGTCCTGATCTTAAACATCTGTTGGATTCATTATGAGTGTTTGTGCTGCTTTTTGGAAATTTTAACTGTCAGCATCCTCTCTGGGGCAATGATCTGACAAATATCCAAGGTTACCTACTCGAACCTTTCGTCCTCTCTTCATTATCTCTGCTAAATTCTGGTGAACATGCCAGAATTTGCTCACTTGCACCCTTTCCTGTCATCTTTCTCTGCTCCTCTTCTATTTACATAGACCTGACATAGAAGGTCCTTGATCTCCACAACAGTGACCATTTCTCCATCTTCATAACTTTTCTTTCTGCCCTCCTCTTTCATTCCGTCGGTGGCAGTTTGAAAAGGCTGACTGGAATCTATTCAATCTCAGTCCTACTCTTTCTGACCTATCAGACCAAAAATACAACTGCATACTCTCAACAGTAACACATCCTACTGATGGCCATAATAGATGCTAGGAAACTAGCTCGTATGAGATTAGTTGACTGGTCATTAGTTTTCTGCTGAGTTCTTTCTGCCTTATATGAAAATAAGGGTAAGATTTGCATATTTGCAGATGCTGAGTCACAATAATGTAGCTGAACATATGATAACCATATTACACATAAGAATAAATCCACAAGGGCCGTGACGAGGATTCTCCTGGACGCAGGTTCGAATCCTCGTCACGGCTCTTGTGGATTTGTTCATTTGATGCATTACGTTAGTGTGATCTCTGTGTGTTACACATAAGAAAATTGAGAAACGTCATTGATTACACGATAATGGTCCAGAACCGACAGAAACATTGTTTCTCCATTTTGCTGATGTGGGGTTTGGTCATCATTTGCATATTTCCAATTTATGGCCTTTCTTCTTGAAAGAAGTTTCAATGGTAAACAAAGTTCATTAGCTAGATTCCTTTAATTTGTCAGTTATCTTCCTGATTGATACACACACGTTGGGGATATCTCTTAATTCATTCTTTTCAACCACTTCAAATATGAGTGTTGGTATTGGGATGTCTAATCATTCTAGTATGAACACTGATGTAAAGTATGCATTCAGTGTTGGCTGCCTTTTTATCATCTATAGCTTGCTTTTTCAAATTTTTAAGGATTCTACCAAGTCTTCGGTAATGGTGTTAGGTCTTGTATAGGAATAAAGACTTGGGATCTTTCTTAATGTTTTGACCAAGTTTTCTTTTGGCTGATCTGATTTCCTGGTAGCTGAATTAATGGCTTTCTGTGTATTTCATAATCAATGTAATTACTGGTGAATTGATACCTACCATACCTCACTCTCCTGAGGGGCTCGGCTGCATGTCTCCACCCTTAACACTGCTCTGGAATTGTTTTTGCCATTACCTGATGGCTGAGTGCACAGTGCTTGGGGTTTGTAGGCCTAAGAGTCCGGGTTCAATTCCCGGCGGAGGCGGAAACAAATGAGCAGAGTTTCTTTCACCCTGATCCTGTTCACCTAGCAGTAAATAGGTACCTGGGAGTTACAGCTGCTACAGGCTGCTTCCGAGGGATGTATGTGTGTGTGTGTGTGTGTGTGTGAAAATTAGGATTAAGGACTTACTTGAAATGTTATGCGTGCTAGTGGCTATACAAGAATGTAAGAATTGTATATATAAATAAATAAATAAATCTAAAAAAATTTTTAAGCTCAATGAAACTGTCGGAAATGTACCACTTCAATTTTATTTACACCAAGATTCCAGAATAATTGAATCTGATATTTACTATTACAATAGTTTTACAGTTTATTTATTTATTTATATACTTGTATATATGCTGTATATAAGAAGGTACATTAGGTTTGTGAGGATACATAGCATGGTACATAGATACAGTGCATTCTTGTAAAGCCACTAGTACGTGCAGCATTTCGGGCAGGTCCTTAATCTAACATACAATTTTAAGTAGGTAAATTCTAGCAAAATTTATAAAGTGATAACAGGTACATTGCAAGAAAATAAGAGATGAGAGATTAGTAGGTATATTAAAGCAAATTGGTAGCTCTGATTGATTGCATTGACAGCTTGATTGGTAATTTAACAAAGATTAATAGGCACAGTACAGCATAATGATTGCACATATAAGAAAAACAGCAATGATCACAATGGTAAAGTTGTTTGGATTAGGTACATAAAGATTGGGGGATTGGGTAGCACTAGATACAGTGCAATTTTAAAGCACAAGGTAGGACACAATGAAGATGAAATTAGGTACTTTTTGGTTTTGGTTTTAAATGAAGCAAAAGTTGGACAAAAAAGTTTAAACTTTCCTTGTTTGAATTATCCTATTCTTCTTCTTTAGATAGCATTGTAGTTAAGTGTTCTGTAAAGCACAACAATGTCTTTTGAATTTTTGCTAAGTTTTTCATCTGCAATTTTAAATAGGGCTATTGATTGTTAAATTCATGCATTGATTTGATAATTCATTATTTAATTAAATGTAAAGTTCAAATTGTAGATAACTGCAAGTAAGGGTTCACCAAGAAAAAGCAATGTGTAGTTGTATCCCTTGCCATGCCAACCAACAGTTGTATTACAAGCCCACATTGTTTCTTCAACCCAAATAGAACTCCTCCATCGCCAATGCCAGCAAAAGTGTCCCGATGCTCCTGACTCCCTCTCCGGTCTCCAACCTTGGTTCCAGGAGGCAATCAACGTGTTCGATCGCTTCACTCAGTGGTATAGAATCTAGGCGATCCTCTACAGCTTCTATTGGCAATCCCTTTGGGTCAACTTATAAGTCACACCGTCGCCCCTCAGCCCTCATATCCAATGCCTCAAGTGGTAACCTCCTGCAGCAGCTGTCGGCCGGCGTGGTGAGTACAGTGAGTATACCACCATACACACCTTCGTCAGCAGTGTTTTAGGTTGTTAGATGCCAGTTACTCGGTGATAGCACACAGCTAGCAGGAGTAGCTAGGTGAGAGCACATTGTCTTACGTCCCAGGCTGTTTTTGTTGATAACCTTTTGTTTATAGCCTCAATGCCTAACACTCTCCTGGCAGCTGCCTGTTAGGAAGTGGCCACAGTGCAAGTCTTCAAGAGGCTCTAACTACACACATCTTGCATTCTTGAAAGCTCCCACCCACTTTCTTATATTCACTCAATTCTTCCAAGATGCAAGTTATCTTTCTTTGCCATATGATCTCTTAATTCGCCCCTCTTGCTAAATGATTCTCAAACATTCTATGAACAAATCCATACCAGCTCAGAATATTTTACTCTACCAACTTGACACATCAGTCCCTCACCCCTTTCACTCGTCTTAGATCTCTTATTGTTTCTAATTACTGTACTGAACACACATCGCATACTAAAATAATGGCTTTTTTTAAATACTGTAAACTTTTTTTTTCACTGCTTGCAATCTTGAGCACTTGGCATCTTTCCCTGCTAAATTTTCACTTCCTTAAGTCTAGGCTGGGAGTAGTATACTAATCAGTTTACAGTTTTACAGATAGTAGTATACTATCAGTTTACATTCCTTCCTTTCATTATTCTATTTACCCTTTCTTCCATTTTCTCTTATTTCACTTTCCATAATCCCGTTTTTTGACACTGCCCCCCCCCCCCCCCCCCAAGTATTTAAAACATTCTATTTCACCTCCAAATATCTTTCCCCAATTTTAATCCTACAGTACAAATTGCTTTGGACTTTGAGGAAATGCTCACCCGAATTAAGTATTCTGCTACAATTAATTTTTCAAGCATTCTTAAGTACATGAAACCTAGCAGATATATGAAAAACAATTTCAAGTACAAAAAAAGGCAGCAGAGAAGTCCTAAGTACAGACCTGTTTCGTTGACAAGTGTAATAGTCAAATTACTAAAACAAATAATGAAAGCCAAATGGGTAGAACATCTGGAAACAAATAACATAATAATACAGTATGGCTTTTGAATCAGAAGATCCTGTGTAACAAATTGACTTACCTTTATGATAGAGCCACAAAGATCTAACAGGAAAGAGATAGGTTGACTACATTTATCTGGCCATGAAGAAGGCTTTTGACAGAATACTGAACAAAATGGAGGATCCAGACCCCTTCTTTAAAAGGTCAAATGTAACACACATACATGGGGAAACTGCTTCAAGCTGAACTAGCCACAATGAAGGACAAAAAAGGAGATGCTATTTCACCCATAGGATTATAAATCCATCAAACTGCCCACTGACCATGTCTGTAATTATCAAGACAATGTGATATATGAACTTTTACTGCAGCTAAAGATCCAGTTGGAAAAATATTCTCAGGAAAAAAGGGGGTACCCTTGCCTAATCCCTGGCTTTCTGTTCCCTGCTGAGGCCACTAAATAGATGGTGGTCCCCCCTCAGATAAATAGAGAGCTAGCTCTTACTTCCCTCTAGTCACCAATAGGGAAGCGCTCATAGGTAAGCACAATTATTCTCGATCAATCCAGTCATTCGCTTTTTCCAAGCCCATACAGGAATCGTACAACTTTCTCTCCGTTGTTAGAAACTTATCAACAATGGCCAGTTAATGGTCACCTTTTGGAAAGACTATTAATGTGAACGTTAATAACAAATGTAGGTATGGTTTTTAACATTCTCCTTCTCCACATGTATGTAAACATCTGCACCTTTGTTTGCAAAAACAATGCCTTCCACTCAACTATTATCATTTGTATGGCTTAAAATAATTTCTCTATCTAAAATCTTCCAGAAGATGAGATGCATAACATCAATTCTTATCAAATAATAACAAAAATTATATAACTACCGGTAGATCTTTTAGTTCCAAATTGAAACTAAAGTATCAGCTCTCTCTATTTTCCATAAAAGTACAATACAGTATAACTCATTGACCAGTTTGTAGTGGATCATAAGTTGTAAAACTGCTGATGCTCAGATACGATATACAAAACCTTGGAGTTGCTTCAACTCTGTAACTTTAGGAGTGTTGACCAAACCACACACTAGAAAGTGAAGGGACGACGACGTTTCTAACGTTAGGAGTGTTATCGAATGTCTCGTATTAGGCTTTCTATTGGCCAAATTACCTTAACTGATTTAAGCAATACTGTACTTGGGTGTTGCTTTTAACTAGTTCTTAACCTAACTAGAACACAAACTATTTAATGACTTTTACATAGAAGTCAACTTTGTGAAATGTTTGGGTATAACTTTGCTACAAACAGTAACTGAACATGTTCAAATTATACACTGGGTTGATTGTTATACTGTACTAGGTAGAGTATTGATGCATAGTGTAGTTATACTGGAAAGATTAGGCAAATATAGTGTGTGTACTGGGTAGGGTTGGTATAATGTGTGACCCGGGTTAATAATAGTGTGGTTATAAAGGATAGGTTAATAGTACACATTGTGGTTATACTGGGTAAATTAATAGTATACAGTGTATTTATACTAGGTAGATTAATTATAGAATGGTTATATAGGGTAGATTAATTATATACATTGTAATAATACTGGATAGATTAGTAGGACATAGTATGGGTAATGTTTGTTTATTTACCCATGGAATTCTATATACAAATAGATATACAGTATCTGTAGTTCTTTGCTAGCGATTTATTGAAACACTTATTGGCTGACGAAGGTCCCTTAGACACTGTGACATTAGGGGTGACACGATTCAAGGCGAACCCAACATAAATCTCATATTTCTTATACTCTAGCCCATTATTAGTTTACTAGTTATGCTGACAAGAATAGATGTACAGTATACTGTATTCACATTTTAAAAGTACTGTATATTTTTTCCTCAATGTCTTCGCTAAATAAAGTAAAAAAAAAATCTAAATATTTTGTTTAGTTTCTAATAAAGTTAATTATCAGTGTATAAATTAATAGGTGTGTTGTGCCTACTGTCTTTGTGATTAGATTATTGCGTGTGGCATTGTTTGCTTATTTGTTTGCATGCAAGTCATTTCTACTATTGCAAAGGCAAGCAAAACTGAGATATTATAATTCAGCTAAATTGTTTGCTTCCATCATACCTTAGTAATGACAGTTTAAGCAATAAGCTTTTTTTCTTTTACATCATTCCCTTTAATAAAACAAATGTGTACTGTATTCAGATTTGAAAAAATTGTATTAATACTGCATGTTTAATTTAGATAATTTTTCTAGTCCTTAAAGAATACAAATAAAAAGTATTTGTTTTCCATAATGTAGTAAATGAAACCAAGATAAAATTGACTGTAATAAATAACATGTTAATTAACTGAATAAGATGAGAAAGAAATTAACTGAGTTTGCCATGGACATTATAATGGCTACCTGTTTACTGTCAAAGTTGGGGACTTGGCTCCTATAATTTACTTAACTGCTATATAATGTGATGTCACTCTTGTACAAATCTGTAACTTCCTGATCTATTGCTAATGGTGTTATAGTACGCATGAATGCTTTCTCCAACTTTGTATCTCTTGCTGAGCTGTTTCGGTAGCTGCCTGTGGTGTAATCGGTGATATTTTATAAAAGTGTAATTCTCAATACTGGACTCTATAATTAATAAGAAAAGTACTGCTTTAGATCTAAGGTAGCTGGTGTAGTACTAATTCTTTTGATAACATCAACTAAACCCACTATAGCGTGTTGCTATGCTCTTAACTTTGTTTTATGCAGGAAAAATGTTTGTCACTTGACACATACAAATAATTAAATTTGCATTGACAAGTCATTACATCACAAGAGACAAGCCAAAATAAAATATATAATTTATAAATAAAACAAAAATAAACATTTAATCAAATTAAAAATCTTACCAAATAAAATACCCCTTCAGTTTTGTAACTTCTGATTAGCATTACATCACAATGTAGTCAGTAATTTCCAAATGTCTAAGCAAATAAATATCCAGTACATGTATTTTTTCACCTGCAGTACCAGCTCTTCTCCAGCAAGTCGTAAGCTCGTGTACAGCATCCACAGGGTAAGGAGAGAGAGGCATGCCGGTGTGTATTACTCGACAAAAAGCGTCACATCATTGTTTGATGTTCTTTATGCTCATTGGGTAGTTAAACATGTTGAAACTATGCCATCACCTGACCAAGTGAGATTCTTCGTTCTCATTGGCCAACAAGAATGCATTGCATCACAAATTAACCATTAGGATGGACACATCTTTGCTTAGATGTGATTATTTGACAAGTCTATATAAATGGCTGCTGTGATTGGTTGCATGTTAACAACGCTCAATTTGACCATTAGGCTTGGCACATACTGGTCCTAGTGGCTGAAAATGGGTGATAAGGGTTTAATTTTTAAATACAGTAATCACAAGTGTTTGATCTAGCGGGATAGCTTTTATTGTGGCACAGATTGACCATTCTCTCATTCCCATCTGTATCTTAGGTGGTGTGGTGTAAGTCTCTTCTTCTAGCCCTTCTATTTCAGCTAAATAAGTCATAGGAAATAATTTCCCTATCGTCTACCCTTATCATTCATATTATATATATATATATATATATATATATATAATATATATATATATATATATACACAGTATAATTTATTATAGATGTACAAGATACAGAATATTAATATTTATAACAGATGTAGGTACAGTACTATAAACATTTTAACCTCTCATGTCTAGATTATTTTCATACTATTCAAATGATTCTTGCATATCGTTATTATATCTGCTAGAAAAACTGCCAGTTTTTGGCATTAGGGAACAGTCTTTCAATACTCTTGAGTAAAGATGGATATATACATATATATATACATGAAAGGGTGAACCCCTCTTCTCTGCGTGTGTGTGTGTGTGTGTGTGTGTGTGTGTGTGTATACTGTATATATATAGTTTACTTCAGACCTGAGTTATGTTAAGAACTAAAGTATACTTGCTGGTTGATTTGTAAGCTAATGTCACGGCCTTAATAACTCTTCCGTGGTTGACAGGCATAATTTAGCCCAACACTAAATCATGTTGTATCTTCTCTGGGGCCTCTACCTCCTTTGCTTCATTCCTCTCATCTCATCATTTTCTAATATACCTTGTCAACTATAATAATTAGTTTGCTAGAAAACTTTATGCAGCTTGTGTATCTTACTAATATACTTATTGCATCTCAAATTCAGAGTAAATACAGTAAACTCATTTTTTTTATTGATGGGTCCGTATATTACGGAAATTTTCTCGGCAGAATGTACATTGTTCAGAGCAGTTGTAGCAGCATGTGCTCATTATGGAACAGTTCTAGCAACATGTACACAGTACAGAGCAGGTGTAGCAGCATTTACACAGTTCAGAGCAGATGTAGCAGCATGTACACAGTACAGAGCAGGTGTAGCAGCATGTACACAGCATAGGGCAGTTGTAGCAGCATGTGCTCATTATGGAACAGTTCTAGCAACATGTACACAACATAGAGCAGGTGCAGCAGCATGTACACAGTACAGAGCAGGTGTAGCAGCATGTACACAGCTTAGGGCAGTTGTAGTTGCATTTACGTGGCATAGGGCAGTTGTAGCTGCATTTACATGGCATAGGGCAGTTGTAGCTGCATGTACATGGCATAGGGCAGTTGTAGCTGCATGTACACAGCACAGGGCAGTTGTAGCTGCATGTACACAGCATAAGGCAGTTGTAGCTGCATGCACACAGTATAGGGCAGTTGTAGCTGCATGTACACAGCATAAGGCAGTTGTAGCTGCATATCCACAGCATAGGGCAGTTGTAGCTGCATGTACACAGTATAGGGCAGTTGTAGCTGCATGCACACAGCATAGGGCAGTTGTAGCTGCATGTACACAGCATAGGGCAGTTGTAGCTGCATGTACACAGTATAAGGCAGTTGTAGCTGCATATCCACAGCATAGGGCAGTTGTAGCTGCATGTACACAGCATAAGGCAGTTGTAGCTGCATGTACAGAGCATAGGGCAGTTGTAGCTGCATGTACATGGCATAGGGCAGTTGTAGCTGCATGTACATGGCATAGGGCAGTTGTAGCTGCATGTACATGGCATAGGGCAGTTGTAGCTGCATGTACATGGCATAGGGCAGTTGTAGCTGCATGTACATGGCATAGGGCAGTTGTAGCTGCATGTACATGGCATAGGGCAGTTGTAGCTGCATGTTTTATACAGAAGTTATGAACACATCAACTTTCAGACACAAGATAAACTTGGGTACAGTATTGCAGTGCAGTGTTGCAAAATATGTTGTAGAATATTGTAGCCACACAAGTCTTGATAAAGGTAATTATATCCTATACAAGCAGGCTTGTGAAGTACATAGTAACTATAATAATTTGTTTATATAAAGTATTCACTAAAATTTTTGTAATGGTGTAAAGGGATGGTACATTGAAAATTATCACGAGTTTCATAGTGGATATTTTAATCCTATTGGCTGCTGTGTTGGTAATATGGAAGATAATATTGTCTGAAATTGTTCTCATGAATAATAGACAGTATTGAGCATTGATCACACATTTAAATACTGAATAACAAATTTTCTTCCCAATTACAAATTTTGAAGAAAGGACACAAATGAATGACTTATTCAGTATCTGACATTAGGAACTTTACCAGATTACACTCTATTACTATTTAATTTGTTCACTAATATTTACAACTAATAATTTTACTTACTACCATGTGTATTGAAATTTGTAAACACCTGCATTTATAGAAGGCTTTACTAATAGTCATATAGACCAACATGGAGAATTTACAATACAGCAAACCACTGTTGTGTTTCCTGCTACACTAGCATGCATCTCTTGCAAGACACTGTCATGGAGGACTTGCAACAAAGCAAAACACTGTTAGTGCCACAAGACAAACACATAGATTGCAATGCTGCTCTTTATTGACTGCCTCTGAGCTGTACACGTTTGTTGACCGAGCAATACAAGTTGTGTAAGTTAAAACAAAATTAGTTGTCATTGCAGTGAGGTTATATCAGTGGAATAGGCTTTGTTTTGTCGTGACCTTATGCCATAGTCAACAACATGTTTTGATCTTGTGATGGTGAACTATTTATATCTTTATCTTATTGCATAAATAATTAGGATACTCATCATCTCACACAATAGTTTGATTAATTATTTATGAACTTTAATTGGGAATTTACCAGATGTTCAATGATTTTAATATTTTTGTTCGTGTTCAGTTTGTTTGATATTTCATACTTACCTTTATGGTATTAGATTTGAAATACCGGTAGTTAATTAAATTGTGCTTTGGCTGTTCTTTTCATTTATGAATGATCTATGCATTAAGTATGACAGGATATGTTTGACCTTATAAGGAGTGTCTGTTCAATCCCTAGATGGTAAAATTATTTTATTTCATGAACTGGGGATATAAAGGCATATAGCTGGTCGACTTCAACTGCAATGCAGAGATACGCTATTAATGAAGCCAGTATATCGAGCTCTGTCTAACTTGAGCCTTACCTTTGAATACTAATATAAAGTGGTTAATCATAAGCCAGAATTTTTGGAATCTACGTTTCTCGGTATCTTCTGTTTCTCTTGCTAGGATGATTATTATTTTGAACTAAATGGGAACAAACACTTACCTTGATGCTCTTCCATAGCCTCTCAACACTAGAATTATGACTTAAGAGTTTGTGTAGCAATGTCTTCCTCGTGCACTAATCTCCTAATTAATAGGAAGTACAGTTGTTTACTATAAGGTACAATGGGTTAATTTGGTGGTTATAGGTATTTCTAGAAAAGCCACTAACACACATAGCATTTCTAGGCATGTAAACAACAGAATATTTGTAATCAACTGTGTCTTATATACTTTTTAATGTATAAATAACAAGGCATTTTAATTTTCATTAAATTCATATACAGTATAACTTTCATCTGGTTAATATCCATCAAAAATGATTTTGTGGTAGTTATAGTACATAATATGAATCAAAGTACAGTATACATGTCACAGTACATACAAAAATATTTATATTTCACCTACTGTATTTCCAACTTGCTGTCAGCATAGACCTTCTTTTTCACTAATTTATAATCTTCAAAGATGCAAGTGAAGCATTTTATGATATATAATTCTTTGCTTGTAAATATTACATTTTGTACATTGTTTACAAGTTGTTCTTTTTTTAAGAAAGCTTGTGAATTTGTATACTTAAATTGTTTATTTTATTTAATGTTTATTTCTGTGATACCAGACTATTCTTTTCAAAGTATGCTTGATGTACAGGTATATAGTGAATGCGATGCCGAAATACATTGCCAAGAACAAAGACTCGTTCTTTGTGACTGGGAATTGCTCTGCGGTCTTTTCTCAGATGGTACACTTAAGAGAGTTTAAAGTACATTACCCCTGTAGTTATTATATTTTTCTATTGGGGCACTTTTTTGCCCCATGCTAAAACTGCACCTTTTCTGTACTGTTACCTGTAGCAATGTGGGGATTCTAGACTTTTATTTAATACTATTCTGTTAGTAATGATTACTTAACAGGAGTTTCGAGTTGCTGGTGTTCGTAGATTTTGGTTACCAGCCTGCTACCAAAATGTTAGTATTTTAGGTGGTAAAGCATCAAAATTGCTGTCATATATATCTACTAATATTAATACTATACAGTATCATTAACATCAGTAAGCATTATGACTACTGTTACAATGTACACAGTGTACACATACTGCCTATGTACACAGCATAGCATGTGTACTTGTACATAAGAAAACAATCTTCACAGTTCAGTGAAACAATTCTGTTCTTGCAAGTCCCATTTCTTATATTACCATGTTATTGCAGTTTGTCTCACTGGGTTGTGTGCTATAATATCGTTCATTACTTCAATGGAATCAAATATTTATACAATAATGCAGAACTGTTGATAATAATGAACTGACAATATGTGGTATGGTAGTTTAGTACTACTAGTAACACCAAGACTAGTTTTAAATGCAATAATACAATTTGTGCTAGAATTACTAGTAGACTTAGTAGTACAGTACTGTATTGGTAGTTTAATAGCACCTCAGTATTACAGTGCAACTTTGATTTGGTGAACATACAGGATCAATCCAGATTCTTGCAACTGAAGATGCTGTCAGGATTTTTTTTGTTTGTGTGTGTATGTGTGTGTAACTTGAAAAACACATTGCTGTGTTTCTTCTAATGCCCCTTAAATCTCATTTGTTAAAAGGTAAGATTCCAAAATGGGCATAAATGGACTAAGCTCATCAACTGTTCACTAGTCTCTGAATTCTCGCTCTGCATTGTAAGCAAACCTGCACATTTACCATTTTGCTGAACACTTGCTTGGTGAAGGGGCAAGTAAATCCAGCCTGTAATTTGTAATCACCTAAGTGTAGTTACAGGGTGAGAGCTACACTCGTGGTGTCCCATCTTCTCAGTACTCTTTGTTGTACAACGTTTTGAAACTACTGACGGTTTTGGTCACCACCACCACCTCACTTAGTTTGTTCCAACTGTTTATCACTCTGTTTGCAAAAGAAAATGTTATAATATTTTTTTGGCACCTCTGTTTTCTTAGCTTGAATTTGTGTCCTCTTGTTTGTGAAGTTGCTAGTTTCAGGAATTCCTCTTTGTCAGTTTGGTCTATTCCTGTTAGTATTTTATAAGTGGTGATCAGATCATCTCTCTCTCTCTCTTCTATCTTCTAGTTTTGGCATGTTTAACACCTTTAGTCTCTCCTTGTAACTCTTGTTTTTCAGTCCCGGAAGCCATTTTGTAGTATGCTACTGCACCTATTTCAATTTGTGTGCTTCTCGAGATGTTGGCACCATACAACTGCTGTATATTCCAATTTTGGTCTCGCAAAAGACATGAACAGTTTCTTTAGTATTTCACCATCCATATGATTAAAAGCAAGTCTGAAGTTGGAAATCAATGCATGTGCTCCTTTCACAATGTTCTTTGTGTTCCTCTGGCGACAGCTTACTATTCAAAACCACCCCTATGTCTTTTTTTTTATATAGAGTTCTGTAATTCTTTTCCACATAACTTGTAAGTTGTGCATGGTCTATTTTCTCAGAGTCCACATTCCATAACACGGCATTTATTCAAACTGAATTCCATTTGCCACTTTACGCTCCAAGCACTTATTTTATCTCGGTCGATTTGAAGGGCATTATAATTGTCTGCGCCTCCTGTCTTTCCCAGTATCTTGGCATCATCTGCAAACACGTTCAAATAATTCTGTATTTCTTCTGGTAGATCGTTTATGTAGATGATGAACATTACCGGTGCAAGAACAGAACCCTGTGGTACTCCGCTAGTAACACTACTCCAGTCAGATACATTGTCTCTGATTACTGCCTTCATCTGTCTGTCAGAAAATTTTACAGCCATGTCAGAAAGTCTCCCTGTCACTCCTCCAGCATGTTCCAGTTTCCAAAACAGCCTCTTGTGTGGGACTATGTCAAAAGCCTTTTTTAGGTCCAGATAGACAGTCAACCCATCCACCTCTTTCCTGTATTATCTCTGTGACTCTATCATAAAAACTAAGTAGATTTGTTACACAGGATCTTCCTGTTCGAAAACCTTACTGTCTGTTCATTATTATGCCTGTCATTACTCTCTAGGTGTTCAACCCATTTGGCTTTAACTATTGTTTCTTGTGTTTTGACTACCATGCTTGTTAATGATATGGGTCTATAATTTAGAGGTTCCTCTTGACTACAATTTTTATAGATTGGTACTATGTTTGCCTTTCTCCATACATATATTTGCTCTGATTCCGGTGTGCAAGGATGTCTTGAATATTAATTTGAGTGGAATGTTCAGCGCGGTTGCATATTCTGATAACACCCAAGGTGAAATTCCATCAGGTCCAACTACTGTATTTCATCCTAGCCCCTCGTGTAATTTTTCCACTTCGTCTTGAGATACCTCTATGTATACTATGGTGTGCTCTTGAATTGGTATTGGGTCCGGTTCTATGAAATCCTCATTTTGTACCAATACACTTTAGAATTGTTCATTTAGCATTTCACACATTTCTTTTTTATTCTCAGTAGTCCTGTTTCCAGTTCTCAATATCTGGATCTAATCCTTTACATGCAGCTTGCTTTTAATGAATTTATAGAAAAGGCCTGGATCTGTTTTACATGTCTGCTATACCTTTCTCAAAATTCCTTTCTGTTTCTCTCCTCACTGTTGTGTAATTGTTTCTTGCTTGTAGTGCTGGTATGCTTGTGGGTTAGGCCTCTTCCTATATTGAGCCCATTTTCTTTTATGTTCCTCTCTGGCCCACTCACAATTTCTGTTGATCCAATCCTGTTTTCTGGCCCTGCATCTCTTGTTTTGGTATGATTGTTTGTGTGCCTTCATCGTATATTTAGCAAAAATTTGGCATACGTCTTGTTTACTTCTTTGTCCTAGCAACAAGTCTGACCAATTAAACTCATTACAAAAGTTTCTAAGTTTCCCATAGTGTCCTCCAAGTGTCCTTTGAAAAGTTTATTAATTGTTTCAATGTCCCCATTCTCTTCTAGATTATACTGTATCATAAAGCATACTTAATTTCCAACAGGACATAATCACTCTTTCCCAAAGAAGGAAGGTACTGGATATCACACATCTCTTCTTCTTTCTTGGTGAATATTAGATCCGGTATTGACAGAACATCTTCCCTAATTCTTATGGCCTGCTTGACGTGTTAATACACGAATGGCTCCAAAATAAGGCTTACAATTCTGCCTATCCAAATGTCCTCCGTTCTTTCTTCGTAGGCCCCCCAGTCAATTCCTTTCAAGTTGAAGTCCCCCCAGTACCAACAGTCGTGATTTATCATTATCTGCTTTTACTATAATCTCTATCATGTCCATTATGAGGCCCTCTTGTTTGTCATCTAGTTCCTCCGTTGTCCATGTGTTGCTTGTGTGCATCTCCATGTGTGCGTTGCAACTGGAGACATGCAGAAGTGAGGTTAGAC